TTTTAGAGGCAATGTATACCACACTTAAGCTCCTAACTCACTAGGTAATCTATAATATTGTCAGTTATGAATATGGTTGAGAGCAAGAAGACACTCAACAGTAGATTTAAGTTCCAGTGTAAGATGCTCTGCCACTTGAGCTTTATGACCCATCAGACACAGTGGCATTGAAAGTTTCTGTGGTAGACAGAGATGCTCTAAAATAATTACAGTAAAGTCATGACCTCTTTTTTTTTTCATATATTGTTGTTCTAGGTGGGGATACATTGTGGCATTTACAAAAGTTCTTAAAATGTATCAAATATACCATACTTGAATTCACCCTCTCCAACATTCTCCTTTATTCTGCTCACCTCCCATTCCTGGAACAGTTTTAACAAGTATCATTTTTCTATTTGTATACACATGTACACAGTATTTGCACTATATTCACCTTCCCACGCCCTTTCCCCACCTCCTGCCCTCTCCCACTGGTACCAAACAGCTCACCTGTTCCACCCTCCTGTGCTCCAATTTTGTAAAAGAAAAAAAATGACATCTTCACTTGTGTAAGATAACTATACAAGGAGTATCCTTGTGGCATTTCCATGTATATATGTATTATAGCCTGAATTGGCTCATCTCCTTTATTTTTCTTCTTTCTGTCTTAGTTCCTTTCTTATGGTAGTTTCAATTGGTTTAAAAATTCTACACTCATTTTTTTTTAAATTTTTATTTTATTCATATGTGCATACAATGTTTGGGTCATTTCTCCCCCCTTCCTCCACCCCCTCCCTTACCCTCCCCGTCCCCTCTTCTCCTCCCCTACCCCCTCGCTACCCGACAGAAACTGCCCTGCCCCTATCTTTAATTTTGTTGAAGAGAGAGCACGAGCAATAATAGGAAGGACCAAGGGCCTTTGCTAGTTGAGACAAGGACAGCTATACAGGGTGTTGACTCACATAGATTTCCTGTGCATGTGTGTTACCTTCTAGTTTAATTCTTCTTGAACTAATCTTTTCTCTAGTTCCTGGTCCCCTTCTCCTATTGGCCTCAGTTGCTTTAAAGTAGCTGCTTTAGTTTCTCTGCATTGAGGGCAACAAATGCTATCTAGTTTTTTAAGTGTCTTATCTATCCTCATACCTTCCTTGTGTGCTCTCACTTTATCATGCTACACTCATTCTTGTATAGAGTGTACATCAATCCTATTCACTTTCTTAACTTCCTTCATTTACCCTCCCCCTCTTGAATGTGACCTCCACTTAGTGTGACCTGCTTTTCATAATATTGCTGTATTTGTATTAGGCTTGTATTCTACATATGAGAGAAAACATGCAGCTTTTTGGCCTTCTGAACCGTTAACTTCACTTAAGATGATGTTCTCCAGTTCCATCCACTTACCTGCAAACAACCAAATTTTCATTGTTTTTGTAGCTGAATAAAATTCCATTGTATGTAAATACCACATTTTCTTAACCCATTCATCAGTAGTGGGGCATCTTGGCTATTTCTTTAGCTTAGCTATTGTGAATAATCATGCCCTCTAACTTTGATAAGTATTTAAATTTTAAATATCACTCTCATCTTCCTAACAAGCCTCGCAAGACTGAGTGCCTTGACTATTGGACACTAGTGGCATGCAACTGAAACTGCACCTTAAAAAGTGTTGTCAGACCAGGCGCTGGTGGCTCATGCCTGTAATCCTAGCTACACGCAGGAAGCAGAGATAAGGAAGATTGCAATTCCAAGCAAGTCTGGGTAAATAGTTTGTGAGACCCTATCTTGAAAAACCCATCACAGAAAAAGGGCTGGCAGAGTGGCTCAAGGTGTAGGCCCTGAGTTCAAGCTCCAGTACCACAAAAAAAAATAGTGGTATCAGATGCATGGAAAAATGGTATCATAAAGATCCAGCTATTGCCCCAGTTGAAAGACATTAATCTATGAGTTGAGGTGCTATCTTTCAAGCTAAACACATAAGTCAATAAATGATACACTTTCCCCCAGAGAGGTATGAAATTTGTTCTTTTTGCTACTTTATATTATAATGAACTGAGTGATTTTTTTTTACTTCTTATTCCCACAATCTTGGTTTTGATAAGAGTGGATTTCCACTGTTCAAGGATAGAATACTTCTACCACAAAACACAGCCACGGTTCCATTAAACTGGAAATTGAGACTGATCCTTAGGCATTTGAGGCTTCTCACAGACCAACAGGAAAATAATCACTGTACTGCCTAGGGTTATTGATTCTGATTATCAAGGGGAACTGGTTCATAGTTACACATTAGAACCGAAGAACACTACTATTGAAACCTAAAGAATTTACTGATATACCTCTTTTGTTCCCTTACCAAACAGCCATAATCAGTGAAAAAGTGTACTAAATATAGGCCCATAAAAATTAGGTCTTGCAGTGATAAAAGTTTAGATTATTACATGAAGTAAAACAAAGTTTATGTAGCCAAGACACCACGCAGGGCAACAGAAGATAAGGAACTGGTTGTGAAATCAATTTAGGACTCACAAGCAGCTAAAAAATGAGGGACCGAAGAAATTGTGCTTTACTTCGTTTCTTCTTCCCTTCTCCCACCTTATAGCCTTATACAAAGAATAAAGGTAGTGACTAACATTTTGGTATCAAGTGGAAATATGGCACTGACACTACTCTGCGATTAGAGGGTAGGGCATGGGGATTTGTGTGTTCTGTATGTTGGGTATATGAATATTTTGTGTATGCTGAAAGAAAAAGAAGTGGGCTACAGTAGATATTCTTTGGCTGGTTCTACAGAGCCACTCTTTACTAATCCATTCTGCTTGTATCCAAGAGTCTGACTTTGGTGGACTATATCAGTGCTCTCTCCTTCTGGCTGTTGAGTTTGGCCAATGGGAAACTACAGTGAGATTAAAAGGCAAATTGGCTGTTTCCCTCTACCAAAGGTAACAGCTCCTGCCCAGGAAAGTTCTTATTTTTAGCTAGTCTTTCTAGGTTCTGGGAATTATTCTTTCTTCTTGCATTTTCATGGCTAGAGGTCATGAAGGTTCAACATTGTTGTTCTTTATAGTGAGTTTCAAGGAGACTTATGGATTTTTATTAATGCTTGTTGCAACTTACAATGTCTTTTATTAAACTGCCATCATTACACAACTTGAAGGTGCCACCTGTTTGTTGCCAAAATACTGAGTAATATATTAAACATCAGTTTCCCCTATTTCCCCTGATTAAGTTCTGAGGTCTACAGGCGCAAGACATATTACTTTTCTTCCAAGTATATAAGCCATAAATCTGATAGTCATCAGTGACAAAACCTCCTGACTCTCCTCACCCTTTATACTCAATCTATAATTATTTTCTGTTAATTTGATACCAAAAATACAACTTTCTTTGGGTGGTACTGGGGTTTGAACTCAGGACTTCATGCTTGCTAGGCAAGTGCTCTATGACTTGAACCTCTCTACCAGACTTTTTTGTGTGTGTTATTGGCTTTGAACTGCAATCCTCCTGATCTCTGTCTCCTGGATAGCTAGGATTACAGGTGTGAGCCTCCAGTACCCAACCCAAAAATGTTTCGTGACTTCTACTCTTTCTTTCATTGTTGCTGTTTTCCTAATCCAACTTACTATTATCTCTTGCTTGGGCTACTGGAATGGCCTCATAACTGATCCTGTGATCTTCTTTTTTGTGTCCTTATACTTTCTTCACTATAGTTAAAAGTTGTCTTTAAAAAATACAAATCTGCTTCCACCTATGACTTGGTTTAAGACTTTCCAATGGTTTCCCATTACTTTAAGTATAAAGATAATTTCTTTTACATATCCTATAGGCTCTCACATGGTCTGGAGCTGCCTATTTTCTAACTTTTTTCCACACAGTTCTCTTCAATGAATATGCTCCAGGCCTTATTTCTTTCACTTTCTCTATATCCACATTCGTTTTTGCCTTAAGGACTTAGTTCTGACACTCTTCTGCCAATAATGTTTTTTTTTAATTTGCCTTATTTACACTACTCATCTTTCAGCTCAATTTTCACATTTTCTGTTAAGAACTCATTAGTAGTCCAGAATTGCTCCCTAATTATAAATGCTCACAAACATTCTATTAATTTTCTTTATTAATAAAATTTTGCAAATGCTTGAAAAAAGTCCTTCTTCCTCCAAGAGACTATATGCCAAATTGTGACAGTGCCTATATCTGTTTTCTTCTCAACCGTATGCATCCCCAATACTCAGTACAATATACCTGACAAATTATAAATGAATGAATCATGTGGAGAAGCTAAAGAGATTGAAAGATGGCACTAAGTATGGAATTTAAAACTATGCTTCACAGAATAGTTTTTAGATGGATGATTGCCTGATAGTCTAGTTGATACAGATTCTGGTTTCTGGAATAGTGGAAAGATAATCAGAGAACTAATGTGTGTTGCATATCAATTCTAACAGATTTCAGCATCAGACTATATCATTCAGTTATACTTTTTGTGATTTTGAGTGATTTTCCTCTTTTTAAAACTATTAATTGGTTAGAATACTGCACTTGGGGGGCTGCTAATCTTATGTTATTTCATATTGTAGCAGTTAAGACTGGATTTTTTATTTAACCACTCCTATCCTACCAACACAATTTGATACATAATGCATGTGAAGTTCTTAAAAACCATTAATATCTTATTCAAGATCAGTCTTTAGTGATATGTTATAGCTATATATGGTTGCTTACATTTTTTTTGAAAAAGGAAAAACATTAAAAAGTTTAAATTGCTTTGGGCTGGAGGATCTCAAATAAATACTTGAATTTACATGGTATGCAAATTATAGAATAATTATAAAAGAGTAATTGATATTATCTGAAAAAGGAATAAAATATGAATTTATGAAATATGAATTTGTGGAGGTGGAAATGAGGCAGAATTAATTTCATAATTTTAGATGTTCTGCACATACACAAAAGCTAAAAACATGACAATAATTTGCATTGTATGTGTCCTTCAAGTGATGAAATTAAAAAATAACAATGGTTAAATACAGTAAAATTTATTATAGGATTGTAGAATTCATACAACTTAAACTCTTTACAGCATTCAGCACCTATACAGTTTTATGGATTTCATAATACAAATATCAGTGAGAAAGAATCATTACATTAGTGAATAATGACTTCCTCATGAAAGTTGTTCACATATAAGTCAGATTCATTATAAAGCACCTAACAGAAATGCAAAGATGAAATTTCTAAATTCAAGAAAGTTGAACTAAATGAAAATCAAAGCAAAATAATGTTGAGGGACTTGGCATGCTTTACACAAAAACATCAAAAACAATTTTAAATATTTTTAAATTTAATGCATGCTCTACTATATGATTTTGTAAAGAGCTTGCTTTAAATAACAGCAGGATGGAATTTACTGTCAGGATGTTGGCTGACACATTCATGCTGCTTTCAGAAATCTAAACCCTATAAATTCAAAAGAAAGAAGATAAAAATTATTTTATTTCAATTTCAAACAACCAATGCCAATTAAACTAAAATTTGACAATAGCTTGCAGTGGTTAGTACATGTTTCTTTTTTCAGTATAAGAAATAGAGTAAATGCATGAGTAAATATCTTGAGTATCCCATAAACTGTAATGTCAAGTCATACTGTAAATCTCTGCCTTCTTATTACCAAGGATATTCTTTATCTGTTGTCTCTCACTCTTGACAGATCTTGGTCTCAACAATAAATTCGTTGGGGAAGTGCCTAATCTTCCAACACTTATCAATGGCACGTTTGTTGAAACCTGTGAGGAAAAACATAAGCAAGTAACTTTTGAATTTTCTGTGTATATGAAAAGATATTTAGACTTGCTTTTCACAGTGCCCTGCATTCTAACTTCATTCTTCCATTGACCCAACAATATAGTATGAGTGAAGCAATAAATTGCTTACCCAGCAAGAGGTCTCTGCGACGAAGGCGGAAGGACTTTCTATTATTGCAAAGTTGGTAAATAAAGATGCCAAGGTTACTAACATCACGGATTTCCTCCACAGCAACCAGGTCTTCACGAACCACATAAGTGTGAGGCAAGTATTTGCCACTCTAAATGTGAAAAGAAGAAATATTGAAATGAGAAATTCTAAAACACATTATTTAAATCCCTGCTTTTAATAGACACACATTTAAAAACTAGACTTTATTACAAACCAGACATCATTTTCAGAGCAGTTTTAGGTTCACAGCATACTTAATTATTATTTGTTACTTTTATATTATTGATTATATATATTAATGGGATTCAGTGTGATATTTCTACACATGTACACAGCATGCACTGATCAAATTCAATCTCTCTTTATCCACCTTCCCACACACACACTTCCCAAATTCTATTAATCACCATTCTGTATTCAGGTCAACTTTTTTTAGCTTCCACATATGAGAGAGAATATGAGGAACTAGCCTTTCTTTCTGGCTCATTTTGCTTAACTTCATGTGTACTATTTCCATCTATTTTGCCATACGTACTTTTTTATTCAAAAATTATTTCAATAAAATGGGATATTTTGATGCAATTCACTAGTTTTGAAGAATTAGGAAACAAAATTATTTGGAAATGCTTATAGAAGTATTTGACCTCCAAAGTGCATACCGCCAGTTTGCCAAAGAGCTCCACCAGATTCTTTGGAGGCATGACAATGGAGGTATTGAGGGGCATCAGGTAGCAGTTCCCCAGAAACAAGTCCAGGTAAGCAGTCATTCCCTGTTGGGGAGGGAAAAAAAATTAGGTAAAGTGTGGAAGACATACACTGCAGATTTTTCAAGTATCACTAGAATAATCAGCTTCATTATTTCAAAATGAATTAATAGCAAAAGAAAGAAAAGGCTTTCATTCAAAAAAAAGATTTATGAATGGACACATTGCCTGTCAATGAACAAGGAAAAAGAGAAAATTCTGGAATACCTTATAAGAATAAGAAACCCACCTTCTCAAAGTCATGAATTATTGCTGCAGGGTCACTATCAGAGAAACTGGGAACAGGCACATCAATGATTGCAATGTTGTCATCTTCACGAATATCAGCCTCCTCTGTCACAGGAAGAAAATAAGGCTCTCCTCCATGAAAGGAATTTACAGAGTCCTCAGAATCAAAGAAGCACATCTCTCCACGGTAAATGGTGCTCTAAAAGACACAAAGTGAAATTAAAACCTTCTAATACTCACTACCATATTTGAATGTGTCTTACACTACTGTGTGCTAAGCTGAGGCTTATTGGTTATAACTATTGTCATGAAGACTAATCAATCTTGTGGATTGAAAGATAATTTGAAAACTTTCCTTAAGTCTTCATTACTCTACTGACCATCATAGAATTATTTATGTTGACACAAAATGTACAGCAATTAGTACCTCAAAGCATAGGAATTATAATTATTATTACCTTGGGCATGAAGTACTTGTAAATACAGGCTCCGCCAACAATAAGTCCTGCCAAGATGAATGATAGGCCTAAGAGAGTAAGCATACATCTTCCAGAAGAGCCCTCTTTTTCCTGGGTGGCAACTCGGAGCTCCTAGTTATTAAAAAGCAAAAACAAAAACAAAAGCAGACTGTACTTTTATATGTTACTTTTGTGTACAGTTTATTTGCCTTGAAACCCAAGATTTTTAAAAAAAATATTAAGTTGTGTTATACTGAAATAATTTCAAGGCAACTTCTGATATCTTCTAACTATATTAACCTGCCTTCTGGAATTTCCAAACTCAAATATAGATACATTATTTCACATTCTACACTTCCAGAATCATATTAAAATAACGACTCATATATATAATGTTATATTGTTTTTATTTTATAAACATTCAGTTTGACATATATGCTCTTAATAAAGTTTGAATGCATCATGCAGTATTTTTGACTATAGGCCTAGTGCAGTACAGCTAATCTATAAAAATCATGCTCTTTAAATAAATGGAAGTAGTTACATTTTTTACTTGTATGGTGATATAATCACTAACTTTCAAAACCCTGTTTTGTCAAAATTAGATTTTAAAAAAAGACTTCTATAAGACAGGTACGTGCAATTTCCCTTTATTTTAGAAATTAAAATATTGAAGGCAGAGATAAATATCCTAATAGTCCTAGTTTTATCAAGAAATATGATGGTCCTTAACATCACCCAATAGTATACAGCTCTGTATTGCATGAATATAATATTTTCCAAGTTCTAGGTTAAAAAAACTAGATTGTAAAATACAGCATTTGCTACATAAAAAAGCTGTCTGTGTAACAGTGACGTTAAAATTCTGTTAAATCAATAATTTGCTTAGGAATTGGAACAAGAAAGATCCAAAGCAAAAAGTAGATGATTAGCTGCACCTTTCCTAGGACAGAGAACTGGATGGTCTACAAATCCCATTCTTATATGTCACAATATACCCCTAAGCAGCATTATTGCTCAAGGGTAGAATAAACGAAGTTAGCAAATCTGAGTCCTAATCATCAAAGTTTAAATCATTTAGACTGTTATGTAAATAGAATTGTTTTAGTTTTTCTGCCACTAGCTCTTTTCCATGAAACTACTGTAATGTTTATGAGATTTAACTGACTTTAATTTGGTGAAAAATACATGAATTTTAACTTAATGTAGAAAAAAGAAGGGCAGGCGATCATTTGATAAACTTTTTCAAAATAAAGGCTTTTCTTGAAGAGTTGAAATTTGAAATTCACATTTTCTTAGCTAAATTTATTTAAGTTAGTTCCTTCCATTAATATTCTATAAATCTTGAAGTCTTTTTTTGAGTCCCAATAATTTTCAGAAGCACTTATTTTTATTAAAAAATCCAAACTATGATTAGAACTACAAAGACAGAACTTTAAATTTTGATTAAAAATCACTGTAATCCAGAGCTGGAAGCTTAGAAATTATATTTTAGACAATTAAATTTAGGTCCAGACAGATGAAATGGCTTACTTGAAGACACGTAACAGCTTAAGTTGAAATTCCCAGAAGAGTGAAGTTCTTTCTGGCTTGCTACTGAGACGTGAAAAGAATAATTTACATTGTAATTTTATTTCTCTTTCTAACAATTTGGGAAGTTTATTATTAAGCAAGGTCTGAGTGTCTCAAGTTCATAAATTTCACTACTTAGTAGGAATAAAGATTTTCTTTGATTTCAATTAAATTTTCTGGAAATCAACAAATTTACTGTGAACTGCATTTTAAAGTTATTGTACACAACATCTGACATAATATTCTGTCATGTTCAATCTCTGGTGATCTAGTTGATCAGTATATCACCATGTATTATTGTCAAGTATTATCATTAGTGTCCTACAGTGGTCAGGTTAGGATACTGTGGAAGTTTATCCAAAACCTAAAAAAGAAATAATCAAAGTGGAAATGCTCATTTCTCATCACATCACAGGCCTGATAGAAGTAATACTTGCATATTAATTAAATCTATTTACAACTCATGAATGTTTTGGTAGTGAGAAAAAAAAGGATTACTGTGTGGCTATAATTAACAACTTGCATCTAATTAGACCTCCTCCCCAAAACTGGTTATGTTTCTCTTACAAAGTTAGTAGGGATATAACTACATATCTGACCTTCTGTTATTTAATAAAAACCTCAACAATGCAAGGGAGTGTTACTTTTGAGTTCTCAAATGTCTAACACACAAAAGCCAGTTTGATTGCTGAATTAAATACTGAACGTTTCATGAGAAAAATTGTGCATAAGCGTATTAGCATTTCAAATTGTGAGCATAATCAAGTTTTACTAAATGGATTCTCATCTCACTCAAAGCACTTTTCAAATCTTCACTCTGACCACAATAGTTAAAACTTTATAAAGGCAACACGACAAGTTAGGACAGATCTGTAAGTTCCAATATTTTGCAGATTTCATAGAGCCAGAAGAAAATACAAATTTCTTTTAAAGTTAAGATTTTATTGAGAAAAACGAGAACTAGTCTAACCACACAGCCAACAATGTAGGTGTTTAAAGGAAATAGAATTTGTACTAAATAAATAAAGTTTAACATTTGGGGGAAAAACTTCTCCAGTTCCTGGCAAAGTTAGCAGCTTAAATTCCAACATTGGACCTGCTTCAGATCGCTATATTTGGGAAGCTGGATATTGTTCACAAAGAACTAATGAAAAAAAGAATAAAAGAGTATTCCAAAATTTATTTTACAGATGAGTGTTTTTGTAAGGAAATACCACTCTGAAAACATATAAAACTCTTGCAGTAAGAGGGCACAGTGAACACTCAAAACTCCAATTAAGACCAAGCTAACTTTTGACAGCTCCTTTACCTAATGTTTAACACAGTCTATACCAAGAAGAAACTGAAAATACACGCGCGTGCGTGGGCGAACACACTTGCCCAAAACCGTGGAGTTAAATCTGCCCTTCACCTCCATCCTCCCTGCACAAGCAGCGATCCTAGAAAGCCTTTGTTTCATTTAATTTCACTCGCGTCAAAAAGAAAGAACGAACAGTTTTTAAAAAGCCTCTTTCCCTTGCTCACTCCGCCTGTCTCCCCCGACCCAGTGCAGGCTATAAGTTCCCCAGGAGCTGATGACAGAGCTGCGTGCAAGAGGTTCCCCAGCTCCTAACCCGCTTCCCAGGAGAGGATGACATCAAGTCCCAGGGGATCTCCTCCAACTCTCTCCAACTTCCTTCTAGGGCAGGTGATGTGGCCGGGAACCCACCGAACACGGAGAGATTCATGGGGATACAGAGAGGAATGAGGGGCAGAGGGCAGAAGGTGGCGTGACCAGAACCAGGGCGACCTGGAAAACCCTATGGACTGTGCAGAAGTACCTGTCCAAGGACTCAGGGGCTGTGTGACAGTCTGCATTTTATTCTCTGAACCTACCCCTTCCTTGTCTCTCCTTCGCCCACCCCCTTCCATAGCCTAGCAGGAAGTCAGGGGCAGAGTGGGGACAGCTACCTTGCCGGTCAGGATCTGAGCTCGGACGGTGCGGCTCACCAGGGCCTCCACGTCTTGCCGAGCCTCTTCCTTCTGCACCGCCGTTGGGGTGTTGAAGGCGATTTTCACCATGGTGAATCTTCCTGCAGCGCGGTAAGGCGCGGCTCGAATCAGCGTCCTGGGTTGCAGGTTGAAAGAGGTGTGGATAGCGTTTGCCCAAGCAACACCTACTTTCTCTCCTTCTGCCTAATGTTGCTGCAAGCCCAGGTCTGGGGATACTTATGACGCAGTCCTAAACTGGATGGGAGACCATGGGCGGGCGCGGGGAGGTGCCGAAGGAGGAGCGGGAGGGGGCTCAAGTGCTGGAGTGGAGGAGACTGGGATTGGGGAGTTGCCAGTGGGAAGAATGGGGCGGGGCGGGGCGGGCGGGGGGGGGTGCAGCCTGTGGCTAGCTCTGGCTAGATGTGCCTCACCTGCACTCCAGACATACTCCCACCCACCCTCTGCGCCCTCAGATAAGAGCAAGGCAGGAAGGAGGCCTGCCCAACCATGTCTTTCTGCCTCTGTCCAGGTCACAATAGCCCCTGAATCGGACTCTGTTTTCCCAAACTTGTGCCTGGCCCCCTGTGGGGCCCAGGACTGTAACTTGGCACCAATCCAAATTTCCTCAGCTAGGCATCCACCCACGCCCCAAAAGCACAGTTCCATGACTGTTCTGCACCTTCCATTTAAGGAACACCTGGAAGGTAGTTTGTAGTTGCTTGGTTTATTCTCTCAACAATTTTTTCTCTCTTGTTTTTTTCCCCATAATTTTAATTTTGCAAACAAAAGCCATGTTAGATCAGAAAGATGAGTGCTTCTATCTCCCAAGCTCCCCATTTTACAGCTAGGACATGATGAGTTGTGGAGGAGGATGGAAAGTGCATTTATAATGAATCAATGAAATAATCCAGATCTTTTTACTCTCCCTGGTTAGGGAAACCAAAGTAAGGTCCCAGCCCAGAGACTGTTTCTCTTCAACCATCAGCTGTGAAACCTACCTATTTGTTTTTGGAGGTGAGAGATACAAAATTTAGCCACATACAACTCTAGTGGAAAAAAAAAACTCAAAGGGGTTGAGGTAAAAATCTTTATTTGGAGCACTTAGTGTAATCAAGCTATTTCTTCATAGTCAATTCTCCCAGATTGGGAATGCTGACAGAGAACCTCACTAGTAAAATTCAAGCTGTGGAAGTTAGTGATTGGGATTCAGCGGAACAAACTTTATAAATAGTCCTGCTGTAGAAGACAGAAGAGGGTTCTGTTGTGTGATGGCAATAACACAAAACAAAATCCCAACAAAACAAAACACAGATTTTGCTAGCGAATTCCACATCTATCAATCTACTTAACTAAATGGACTTGAATGTGCTGAGTTGTTACTCCTCCATCCAAGAAATTTTAACTTGGAGTTTTTCCCAGTGAGGTTTCCTTGACTCTGAAGCCCTCTCCTGTCTCCACTGTGGGAGCTTTGTAAAGACAGACTTCATTTTCTCAGATAGGCCACAGATGGGAAGGTGGATGGAAGGGAACAGTGAGGAGCTTGTGCCTTACATAGAGCCAGAACCTTATAAAGCAGAATGTTTGAGTTTGCTTAGAAACATTGGCATCTTATGCTCTTTTCCTTATTATTGCTCAAGTCTGGCTATTATAATTCAACATATGTCAGGCAACTTTCAATTTATGCAGAGGAAATCTAAGTTTTCTGGGATGCTTCTCTTTACAGTTATGTTCTGTTTGCTATCATAACCTTTATGACAACTCAGCTAGATGGCCCCTGCCATCTACATCACATGGATAGCTAAACAAATAGTACCTCCTACACATTTATCTACTAAGCACAAAGTGCTGGATCAGATAGTAATATATTATCTTAGTGTTATCTTCACTAAAATGTGGCTAGGCAGGAGGATCAAGAATTATTTTCATTTTTCCAGAAGAATAGACTCAAACTCTGATAGCAACCAAGGGAATATTTGATCAGTTGCTACATATGTATATTGAGCAATTCACCACATTTCCTTAGGCTTCACTTTCCTCCTCTGAATTATGCTGCTAGGAGGATAATGAGTGAAACAGTCTCTGAATATTTTTTGAATTTCAAAATATAAGCTTCTAGTTTCTGATTGAGTTGAAACAGTAGTGAACACATTTCCATCTGCTGAAAATGTTTCTTATTGTCCAAGCTCTCTCTGGCATTCTTTCTTTCCCAGCATAGCTTCTTGTTTTTATAGAATCGATTTCTTGCACTTTCTTGACTTCAGAAACCATGGGGGATCTGGCTGCCATGGGGATTCCAACTCACATTGTTAATCATGTCTGAATGCACACCAAGTTTATAAATGACTTCCTTGTTCTCACATGTCAAAAGATGACTAAATTATCACAACTTGGGCTGAATGGAACATGGCATGCAATTGGATGCCAGGCAACAATGTCAGCTCTCTTTGAATGATCTTCTTAAATCACCACAAATTCAGTCACACAAGCCAAAGTGATTAGGGGCATCTGTAATACCATTTCCCTCATTAAATCATTTATTCATTCATGAAGTATTTACTAAGGCTGTAGTATGTGTTCTGTACTATAATCACCATGGAAATACAGTGGTGAGCAAAACAGACGCAACTTTGCCCCTGTAGAGCACATCATTGCTGCACCAATGGCAGGAACATACTTTTCATGGGAACACTGGCCCTATGCTATCAAGTAGGGCATAGAAATTCTACAAATCAGCAGTTTGTAGTTCCACTTATAGCCAATACTACTAGAAAAGTTTAAATACCTTGCTTATCTACAATTGCTTCACAGCCAGAAATCTATTTAACAAAACTAATCTCATAGCAAATGTATTAGAAAGTATTCTTATATATTCAAGGTGAGAGGTGGTGAACTACAATGATGATTGAGATACGAAAAACAAAGGAACAACTACAAAGAAGTTCAGGAGTCATATTTTAAAAGTCCTAGTGCTAGACTAAGTCATATGAAGGAGAAAAATTAGGAAAATAATTTTGTTTTCAAATGACCTTCTGCAACCACAGACTAGGAAAGTGGTGGCATACTTGATAACAATAATAAATAATAACCAAAATCCAGCTTTTTGTGGTAGGACATTGGAACTGATTGCTATTTATTTTTTACCACGACTCTGAGAGGTACTATGATATACCTAATTGCATTGACAAGGAAGCTGAATTTCTGAGAGGTAGATAGCTTGCCCAAGGTCAAAGTCTAATTTAGCTTATTTGATTCCAGTATTTTTACTTCTAGCCACTATATTTCTTGCTGGCACTAAAAAAATGGGAAAATCAAGTAAAGAACTTTCTTGAAAGTGGAGAAAATTATCAAATATTCCCTGGGGAAATAAAGGGTAAATCACCTGATCATTTTGCAAACAGGGCTTCCTGCTTAGAATTTTGTTCAATACCTATAACATTTTGGAACCCTTTAAAAACCTCTTTGGCCTACCCATGACCATAGGTTACTCATCCTAAAACACATTTATCCTGCATTCTGCTGTTGCTCCTGTCAGCAAAGAAGCAGCTAAAGGCCAAGTAGGCTAGCTATCTGTTTCTGGGTACAAGTCCAAGGAGTTTGGTATAGATCTTTAAAAAGTCAGGTCATTTTGTAGATCCTCTTTTTCTCTGAACATGTGTCTACACCCTGGGAGCACAGCTAGGGCTCTCCACTTAAGGTAATAGTAGAAACTTGCTTTTTGGAAGAGATTCTTGTTTTTGCATTCCATTTAAGGTTTTCTCTGTAAGTTAGGGAGCAATGAGAAGAGGAAGATATGTTTCCTTAAATATGAGAATGGATTCCATCATCCTTTCACAATAATTTGGTAGTATCTTCAAGATTAAGAAGAAGTTGTGCCCTACCTTAATTTATGAAAACTACTCTTTTATTGTTTGTGGTACTGGGGTTTGAACTCAGAGCCTACACCTTGAGCAACTCCACCAGCCCATTATTTTTTGTGATGGGTTTTTTGAGATAGGGTCTCATAAACTATTTGCCCAGGCTGACTTTGAACCGAGATCCTCCTGATCTCTGCCTCCTAACTAGCTAGGATTATAAGTGTGAGCCACCAGCACCTGCTTAAAACCACTTTTCTTTATTCTTATTTTGATAAAGTGAAAAAAATCAACCATGTTTGCTGAATTGTGTAAAAATTCTTATCTCATTGTGGACTATCTTTTGGGAAAATTTTAAATATAGTTTTAAATCAGTATCCAAGTCATATCTGATCACACTTTACAGATGTTATTGTTCTGTGTAACATAACTGAGAAATCAAAACTTGCCCCAAGAATGCTTTTGAGAATATCCAGTCGTTTCAGATGCTCCATAATATAATACCAGGGATACTGAAATGTCTTTGTGATTCAGAGTTATGCTCCTATTCAAAGAAAGCAAACCACTTGTATATTCATTAATAATAATTAAGCCAAATATTTTTAACCCTTATGTTTAGTTTTGTTAGTGGCTCAAGATATTATGTTCCTTAAAATATATAAAATCCCAAATTGTTTTATGTCATGTGATTCATTTTGATTACTCTTGAAATGCAGTTTTGGTCATCATTTTTAATTTAGTAATTTTTTTCTGAAATTAACCCCAACATATTCACATGCCAAAGTCTTCAACTATTTCAAAATATGGGAGAACTCATAACAAAGGAATGTTCTTTGTAGTCAAGTGAATGGCACAAATTTCACTTCTTCTTCTCAGTCCAGCAAATCATATCAGCTCACGATTGGAAAATTCTTCTTGAGAATCCCTTAACTGAAACTTATGGCTCACAAATACTTCTGCTTACGTATCAGTGTGGTTGCCATTTTTCTGTGCTAGTGCAAAAGGAGGTCTAGCATAAAAGATCACTATAGTGTGACAGCTTATGTGCTGCTTTTCATCAACACAACTATACTTCCTGATTTTCAAGTTAAGGAAATTATCTTCTCAGAATTTTGTGTTTCATCAGCTGAAGAGTGAAGTTCATCCACTACAGTGAGAAGAATACTACAGAAAAACATTGTCCACACATCTTGGAAAGGAAGGAATCTCTTTGATGTTCTATTTATATTGCAGTTAACACAAAACAAGTGGCTTATTCTGGCATTTATTATTTAAAAGATGCTACTAAATAGGGAGATTAGAATAATGGATTTTATAAATAGAAACAGTTAATTACAAACATACCAGTGCTTATTCTAAATAAGGATAACTTTCTTTTCCCATTCTAATGTTCTATACTCACAGCTAAGTTTTAAGAAGAACTTCTATTTACTTGAACTCTGAAATGATTCTGTACTCTAGTAAACCTTGCAAGGCAGCTAAAGGGGAGGTCTTCCTAGTGTAGCCTCA